CAGAAATTCAGAAATTCAGAAATTCAGAAATTCAGAAATTCAGAAAATCAGAAATTCAGAAATTCAGAAATTCAGAAATTCAGAAATTCAGAAATTCAGAAATTCAGAAATTCAGAAATTCAGAAATTCAGAAATTCAGAAATTCAGAAATTCAGAAATTCAGAAATTCAGAAATTCAGAAATTCAGAAATTCAGAAATTCAGAAATTCAGAAATTCAGAAATTCAGAAATTCAGAAATTCAGAAATTCAGAAATTCAGAAATTCAGAAATCCAGAAATCCAGAATATCAGAATATCAGAAATTCAGAAATTTAGAAATAATTCAAAAAATATATCGATTCTCTACTACAAAATTTTCAGCAAAAAATCAGATTTTTGGCTAAAATTTTCAAAAAAAAAATTGAAAATTTTGAGCATTTGAGAATTGGGTAGACAGTTTTCGGTAAAAAATTCTAACATTTTGACACAAAAAAAATCATCAAATTCAAAAAATATATATAATACTGATAAAATGATTTTGATATTATGATGAACATTTTATCAGTTGACAAATTTTCGATATCTATTATAGGAGCCTAGATAATTGAGCTCAAAGTTGTTAATCCAATTTAAAACATTTTTTCAAAAAGCTACTCAATAAAAACAGTATAATATCAACTCAATAAGCCTCAAAAGAGACACCAACTCTCTTTTTTTGAAATTTGTGTAAAACCAAAACTATTCGGGCTCCTCCAAAATCTCCGAAATCTCTCTAGGGACCAAAGAAGCCTTCGCACTTTGACACAGCGTCAACAAAACCAAAAAAGATAGAAAAAAGGAAAGAGGGGGGATCCATTTCAAAGTGATAAACTTGTCGCAAAAGTGTTTTCGGATGGGGCCTGGCTAGAGGGGACCAAACTCTTTTTTGGCTCTAAAAAAACGGGAAAAAATGGAAAGAGGGACAAGAGAAGAGACATAACAAAAGGGTCCACAGAATAGAAGGAAGAAGGAGTACTTGTTAGTAGTAGAGGAGCATAAATTAAAGAGCTCTGCTAATGGGGATGGGCGGGAGGGAAAAGAGGAATAGAGGAACTTTTTGTATAGAAATTAGATTTGAACGGAGTACGCAACTTCGCGTAATAGTGTTTACCCACTGGATTATGTATCGTAGTCTTTACGCCACATCATTTCTAGCCGTGATACAGCGATTTCGGAGGCTAGAGACGCCAGACAACGAGACACACTGCGTTTCTAACCTTGCCAACTTCAAATAGCTATATCTCGGCTTGAAGTAGGTTCAAAAACAATCAAATTTGGATCACTATGAGCCGAGTTATATCTCTTCGCAAGTTGGGTGAGTTAGAGACGAAGCGTGTCTCGTTGTTTGCGTCTCTAGCCCACTAAACTTCAAAGGAGTGTATCTCGGCTTCTAGAAGAGTTAGAAACTTGAACTTTAAAAAGAAATGTGTAGAATGTAAGAGGAACAAACTGATAGTAAATTTGAATGTTCGAGACGTCAGACGACGAGACACACTGTGGCTCTAACCATTGATTGGCAAGCGACCGCGCAGCTCAGCAACTTTGAATCCATATATCCCGGCTCCTTTAAAAGATATCTAAAAATGGTCAACTGATAAATTGTTTATCATAATATCAGTAATATTTTGTTAGTTGACAACCTCTGGATAGCTTACACAGGAATCGAGATATATGGGTTCAAAGTTAAGAGGGGGGGGGGGGGGGGTAATTCTATTGGTGGCTACGGTAGTTCAAAAACAGGATTCAAGATATTCCTTCAATTTTGAGATTTGAAGCGCTTAACGAGACAAAACTCGTAGTCATAAAAAACGTAAAATTTTGCTTGCTAAATCGAATGACTAAATAATCGAGGTGCTCCTACTTTTCTAGTTTGTTCCATCGTAAATATCTCAAGTTCTAAGAAAGATGCAACAAAATTGTCAATTAATAAATGTGTAAAATTTTATTTTACACATTTAAATAGTTTACAACTTTTTTGTATCTTTTTCAGGGACCGAGATAATTAGGGTCAAAGAACCGGACCCGAGACTGGCCACCCGTCACATCGTCGCAGGCAGCCCCTCACTTCAATTATAATTATCGCGATTCTGAAAAAAGCTGCAACAAAACTGTCAACTAATAAAATATGTAAAAATTTGTTATACATATTTTATTAGTTTACCACTTTTTTGTATCTTTTTCAGGGACCGAGATAATACGCATCAAAGTGAGTAATACCTACATTTTCATGATGTGATTTTAATCTTATTTATCTCAGTTGCTATAAAAGATGCAAAAAAAATTGCTGACTGATAAAATGTGTAAAATTTTATTGTCTATAATATTTCAATAATACATTTTGAATATGCCTTTTGGAAATTGACATAATTGACATAATTGGGACCGGGGAGGGTTTAGTGACTATACATTCGAACTATCGCTCAAAACTCTTCTGAAAAGCGAAAAATCTCGAAAAGTGAGCAGAACCGAAAACAAAACGCTCTTCACTCATTTTTCCAATCCTTTTACTTCTCTCTGTGTGTTGCAAAAATGAAGGGACGGCTTCCAATTTTAATCCCAGTCTTAAACCTTTTTTCTCTCCTTCTTCCCTATTTCTCTTGTTATTTCGTAGTTTTATGAAAAATGGGTTGAAGGGAACGTGAAAATAACGCCTAGAATCTTTTCGGAAGCTTTGAAAACATAAAAAGGGAAGAAAATGAATATTTTCTGGTTTCCTGCCGAGGTGCAAAAATCAAAAATTCATCTCTCTCTCTCTCTCTCCCTTGCTTCTCCTCTTGTCCACCTGCCTCTCCCCGTTCATATACGCCTCGCGCCTCTCTCAACGCCGTGCGGTTCCATGGTGTAGCGGTTAGCACTCAGGACTTTGAATCCTGCGACCCGAGTTCAAATCTCGGTGGAACCTATCGGTTTTTGGCTTTTTGTGAGGAGCATTGGGATGGGGTTTAGAGCATATTTGGGCTTCAACATCATCAAATAAAGTCGCATTAGTGCCTTATGTGTTCATTGGAGCACGAATTTTCTTTTTTTTTTCGGAGGAGCATCCCAGCAAAATTGGGGTGGGATGCGTCAAAAGTTGCCAACTTTTTGTGTTGGTAAACAAGAATTTGGTCCCTTTTTTGGGAGAAAAAAAAAATGTATTTGGGACATTTTTGGACCAAAAAAGGGATCCAAGAAGATTTATTTTTATTCATTTGGGAGCATTTTTTTCGAGAATTCTAAGTTTTTAGAATTTTTGAAAAATTTAATTTTTTTACTCTGAAATTCTGAGATTCTGAGATTCTGAGATTCTGAGATTCTGAAATTCTGAAATTCTGAAATTCTGAAATTCTGAGGTTCTGAGATTCTGAGATTCTGAGATTCCGAGATTCTGAGATTCTAAGATTCTAAGATTCTGAGATTCTGAGATTCTGAGATTCTGAGGTTCTGAGATTCTGAGATTCTGAGATTCTGAGATTCTGAGATTCTAAGAATCTGAGATTCTGAGATTCTGAGATTCTGAGATTCTGAGATTCGGAGATTCTGAGATTCTGAAATTCTGAAATTCTGAAATTCTGAAATTCTGAGGTTCTGAGATTCTGAGATTCTGAGATTCCGAGATTCTGAGATTCTAAGATTCTAAGATTCTGAGATTCTGAGATTCTGAGATTCTGAGGTTCTGAGATTCTGAGATTCTGAGATTCTGAGATTCTGAGATTCTAAGAATCTGAGATTCTGAGATTCTGAGATTCTGAGATTCTGAGATTCGGAGATTCTGAGATTCTGAAATTCTGAAATTCTGAAATTCTGAAATTCTGAGGTTCTGAGATTCTGAGATTCTGAGATTCCGAGATTCTGAGATTCTAAGATTCTAAGATTCTGAGATTCTGAGATTCTGAGATTCTGAGGTTCTGAGATTCTGAGATTCTGAGATTCTGAGATTCTAAGATTCTGAGATTCTGAGATTCTGAGATTCTGAGATTCTGAGATTCGGAGATTCTGAAATTCTGAGATTCTGAGGTTCTGAGATTCTGAGGTTCTGAGATTCTGAGATTCTGAGATTCTGAGATTTTGAGATTCTAAGATTCTAAGATTCTGAGATTCTGAGATTCTGAGATTCTGAGGTTCTGAGATGCGGAGATTCTGAAATTCTGAGATTCTGAGATTCTGAGGTTCTGAGATTCTGAGGTTCTGAGATTCTGAGATTCTGAGATTCCGAGATTCTGAGATTCTAAGATTCTGAGATTCTGAGATTCTGAAAATCGGAACTTTGAATCTAAAATTTGGAAAATCCGGAAAAAATTTCAGTCAACAATGAATTTATTCATTAATTTAGGCAAAAGTAAAAATCACAGAATTAAAAATCACAAAACTTAAAAAAAATACAATAAATTATTTTTTTTCAAAATTTCTTAAAATTAGAAATTTCAGTTTGGTCAAAAATCAAAAAATCAAAATCACAATTTTTTTTGTAAAAAACATGGGATGGACAAATGGAGAGGGAGAGAGAGAGAGAGAGAGAGACGCAGAGATTATGCGAATTTGAATTTTTCTAAATTTTTGAAAAAAAAATGTTTTTCGTTCAAAAATTCTAAAAATCGGAGGAAAATTGTGGTTGTGGTTGTGATGGAGGCAAGATGTTTCAAAATACATTTTAAATTTCAGAGGGATTTAAGGGCGTGGCCTAGAAATTTTTCTAGGCCAGCAAGGTTCAAAAATTTTATTCCATCAAGATTGGTTGAAGTGGAAAGTTTGGTGGGAGTCCAGTTGGATGGTGATGGTGGGAATAGGCGGAAATTTGGGAGATTTGAGAGAGTGGAGACGTTTGAGCAGTTTGAGTTGGGACCGCGCGACTGCGAAGTGTGAGGATAGCCTCTCCTGGACACAAGTGCGTTGGCCAGCGAGTGAACATCACCTGAAAATAATATAATTAGAGATCTTCAAATTTTCATGTCTTTTTTAGTTCAAGAACCAGCTTTCTAGCTCATCTAGGAGCCGAGATACAGCGATTTGAATTTTCCAAGGCTAGAGACGCAGTGTGTCTCGTCGTCTGGCGTCTCTAGCCTCCTAATATTTGAATCGCTGTATTTCGGCTCGCAGGCAGCCTAGAGAAATCACTTTTTGGCTGAATTAGAACACGACTTCTCTATTTTTCAATAATTATAAAACTTTGCAACACTTCAAATTTTCAGATTTTTCATTTTTAGATTTTTTAACATTGAAAACTCTACTACCTGAAATTACTGCTTAAATTGAGTATTTTACAGTAGGAACCAATTTTCTAGCTTTCCTGGAAGCCGAGATACAGCGATTTTGAAGTTTCCCAGGTTAGAGACGCAGTGTGTCTCGTTGTCTGCGTTTCTCGCATCCCAAACTTCAAATCGCTGTATCTCAACTCCCAGGAGACCGGTTCTATACAAAACCCAGCTTTCTAGCTCATCTAGAAGCCGAGATACAGTAGTTGGGAGTTGGAGGTTAGAGACGCAGACAACGAGACACGCTGTGTCTCTAGCCTCCTGAACTTCAAACGACTGTATCTCGGCTCCTAGATGAGCTAGTAAACTGGTTTTTGGACTGAAACGCGTGTTTTTTTTCTCTTATTGAAAAAACGTACATTTTCCACAGTATGATCTGGTGTAGTGAAGTTGGCAACCAACTCTGGCACCCCGATGCTCAAATGAATCCCATAAATGATCAATTGAGTGACCTGTCCTGGCAAAATCGGCGAAATCGGTGGCGACGGATAGCTGGTCCAGATTTGTTGTGCTCCTGGAGCCGGTGGCGGAAGGTGTGCGAGGAATCCGAGAGCCTGTGGCGCGGCTTGTGGTTGTTGTTGTTGGTGCACTAGATGCTGAAGGTTCAGCTCCTCAGCAGACGATTGGAACACTTCAATGTATCGCTTCTTCTTTCCGACACACATGAAGTTGTTATGAACGCCTGAGGCGGTTGCCGCTGCCGCTTGTTCGGAAATCATTTGGATGAACGCCTCGCCCGATGGGTTGCCCTGGTTGTTGTAGACCATATGGACACCTTGGAATTTGACCATGTTGGCAAAGTCGCCAAGGAAGTTGACAATGTGCTGGACCTGAAATACTGGTATGGTTGGAGGGATATCAAAAGTGTGGTCTTGCGAGCAAAACTACGCATTTTAGTCCAAAAACGAGCTTTCTAGCTCATCTACAAGCCGGGATATAGCTCCTCGAATGTTTGGAGGTGAGAGACGCAGACAGTTAGAGTGTGTCCTTGTTTGCGTCTCTCATTTCCAAAACTTCGAATCGCTGTATCTCGGCTTCCAGGAGCCTCTCTCTCTCTCTCTATTTTTCATTTCAGTCGGCTCAGGTAGATCTTGGCAAGCGACTTGGGGAGGTCTCACGGTTTGAGCCCTTGAACCCCAAATTATGGGGGCAATGGCATCCTATGGGCACCTTGCCCTTTAAGTTTTTTCGCGGATGAATTTGGAGCATGTCTTGGGCAAGACTATGGCTATTAAAAACCCCTTCATCGATCATCTAAACATAGTAGCACTGTGTTCTCACCTGCTCTCATTGCTTGAGTTTGTTTAACCATCGTCTAGTACCGAGTTGCAAGTCGCGCTTGTAGATATTTATCTGTCTAAATAACCTTTTTCCTATACTTTCCCCAAAATGGTATGAAATCAAAAAAATAGAATCAACAGAAGGCAATACCCAAACTTCCACCGGCTTTGACCCCAATTATCTAGGCCCGGGTTGAAGATATAGAAATTTTGTGAACTATAAAAATGTTCGGCATGTTACGCTAAACATTTTTCTAATTTTAACATTTCGAAAAACTTCCATGGGAGTCCATATAATTGAAGCCAAAGTTAGAGTCTAGGGTAGTCCAGAAAAATATGGTATAAGGAAAAAAAGGTATAGTGTAGCGCCCCACCAGATAATGTGCAACCCTTGAATATATAGAAGTAGAGAAATGAGAATCCCAAATTTTGTGAAAAAATGAATACACCGCTAACCAACTAACACCATCATACCTCCCCATTTACCCCATGATACCATAGTCTCTTAAAAAAAAAGAACCTCGTCTTTAAGTTAAAGACGTTAACTTCAATTATCTCGGTTCCTATGAGAAATGCAAAAAACTTGTTAACTGATAAAATGTCTGTCATATTATTCCCAACATTTTATTAGTTGACATATTTTTTATATCTTTTAAAGGGATCGAGATAATCCACCGTCGTCACACTTACCGTAGCCTCATAGGGAAGTCCTCGAAGACGAACGCAGTCTTTCTTCTTCTCATCTGAAACCTCGACGGCATTGGCGACTACCGGGGCGCTGTTGATGAGATTACAGCGTTTGACGACTTGTTGAACTTCGGCTGCGGTACTTTTGAACAGCTCGATGTAACGTTGACCGATGACTTGACGATGCTTCAAGAGACCCTGTTGGGCGTCTTCCTCAGTTTCGAATTGCACGAAGGCGTCACCTGGAAATAATTATATTGTTTGGGTTGACCTTGTTGAGAGCTTCAAAATGAGTTCAATCATGACCTAATTTTCTTGAGTTTCAAGTTTTGGACCCGGCTATGCGCCTTTAAAGTCAAATTTCAACTTTAAAGGAACATAGTCGTGTTTATGCTCATTTTGAAGCTCTTAAAATTTCATATTATATCCAATTAATTTTGTCAAAAAATATTGATCTTAAAGAAAGTTGAGGGTCTTTTAGTTTTTGAGTCGGTTTTAGCCCGTTTGTAATCCGTTTATAGTCCGTTCGGCCGCCTGTTGAGCTAGAGTTGCACAGGCGAGCTACCCCCAAACCCTTTCTGCAGTTCCCTGTGCGCTTGCAACGACGCTCCGCTGTTCGGCTGACGAACGACAAGCGTGCCAACCGGGTGTGTTTGAATTAGAGTTAGTTTTTGAACAGCTAGTTGTGTCAGTTTGGACGATTTAAGTCAGTTTAGAGTTTTGTCTAAAGTATCTTTTGGTGATATTGTTGTTCTTTATTAATTATACGGAATAATAAATATTATTTTTGTATAAAACCGTATTTTTCTTTGTATTTTGTGTCTGGACCTTAACACCCCGATTAATCGGAGGCAATTCTAGACTGATGTGGTATTTAGATTTTTAAACTCATCGCATTGAGAGCTTCAAAATGAGTATAATCAAGGCCCACTTTCCTGGAATTTCAATTTTGGGACCCGGCTATGCGCCTTTAAAGTCAAATTTCAACTTCAAAGGAACATAGTCGTGTTTATACTCATTTTGAAGCCCTCGACAAGCTGAACGTGATTCCTCTATTAAAATCCTTCTCCCATGAATTGTTTGTACGAAAATGAAAAAAAAAACCAACCAGTGGGACGCCCGTCGGTTCTCGTGATGAACAGGATCTTCTCGGTCAATTTGAGCGGCTCGAAGAAGGCTCGAATCTGCGTATCCGTACAGTCGTACGGTAGTCCACGCATTCTGACAATCACCGCGTTGGCGCTCACGAAATCCATTGCTTCGGCGGAGGAGCCTATAAAGAAAGTTATTAGAATTTTTGCTAATTGCAATTTTTCTAATTAAAATATGTTTTTAAAACTTCTAAACATGTAATGTAAAGATCTATCAATCGGGCAACGCACACCCCACTCTATTGATAACGAATTTTTGTGTGGGGACACCAATCACTTATCAATAATAATAATAATAATAGTACGTGTACATACAGTGAGAGAGAGGGGGAAAGAGCTAATATTTAGAATACTTTTCATACCCTTAAATTTGAACTTAGATATCTCGTTTTTTGTGAGAGATATCAAAAAGGGGTCAACTGATAAAATGTTAAGCTTGTTATCAGAAATATTTCGTTAGTCAACAACTTTTTGACATCTCTCACAGTAGCCGAGATAAATTGGTTCAAAGTTGTCAACCCCAGGACACCGGAAGTGTCATTGGTTGGGGTAGTACATCTTAAAATGTGTACTCTACGTCATCGAGCTACAAATTTTTATTTTGCAAAAATTACCTTTTTGGTGACCTAAGGGCATTTTTAACTCATTTTCTACAGTAATCCAGTTTTTTGAATCCTCCAAATTTTTCTGGAAAATAATGAAAATTTTGGGAAAAGAGCTCGACTTTTCAGTGACCTAGGGGCTTATTTCAGCTTGTAGCTCAAACTTATCCGAAATTTTCTACAGTAACCCGATTTTTTGAATTCTCGAATCTTCTGAATCTAGATTGGAAATTTTGGACCTCAAAATTGTCAGAAAACTTTGAAAAATCCAATTCAACCAATTCTCAAAAATCTCATAAAAATGGTTTCTAGGAGAAACTAAAGAACTTTTTTTTCAAAATTTTGGAAAAATGAAAAAAAAGAAAAGGCAAAAAAAGGCGAACAAATTCATGGGAAAATCGAGAAAAAAGGGAGACATAAAAATGGTTTTTTTCTTATTTTCCCATTGGCTTTTTTGTTCAGAACCGACCAAAAATTGGGTCTAAAAATCGATAAAATAAATTTTGCTCGAATTTTTTTCCTTGGCTGATAATTTGAAAAAATTGACGCCATTCCGTCTAGTGGGAGTTCTTTTCTGATTATTAAAACTGCTCCGAGAGAATTTAAGAAAGTGATTCACCGAAAAAAGAAAGTGACAAATTTTAATTTCCATTTTGAGAAGGAGGGTGTGTCTGTGCTCTTTTGGTCTTTTTTGGTAGCTAGAAAAAGTGTAAATTTTGAAACAAATGATACTGCATAGTGGTCAAGGTGTTAACACCTTCCACGTAGCTACCGTACTCCACCAGCAGCCAGCGGTCAGCCGTCGGCACATTATCAGTGGGGCTCGCCACTTTGAGCTTGATTATCTTGGTTCCTGTAAAAGATATCAAAAAGGTTTCAACTAATAAAATGTTTAAAATTTTATGACAAACAATTTATTAGTTAACAACTTTTTGATATCTTTCACGAAAATTGAAATAATTGAGCTCAAAGTGCAAGCAAGCATTAACCGGAAAGCTCGTTACTTTGAGCTTAATTATCTCGGTCCCTGTGAAAGATATCAAAAAGATTTAAACTAACAAAATATTTAATTTTTTATCGCAAACATTTCATCAGTTAACAACTTTCTGATATCTTTCACAAGAGTTTAGATAATTAAGGTTCAAGTAACCAACTACGCAGTTGAGGCCGGCGGCTGATGTAGTCCCGTTGAAGGCCACTTTGACCTCAATTATCTCGGTCCCTATAAGAGATAATAAATAGTTTTTAATTAATAAAATGCTCGAAATTTTATGACAAACATTTTATTAGTTGACAACTTTTTGATATCTTTTACAGAAATCGAGATAATTGAAGTTGAAGATTCAACACTTTTTTAGCCTAAAAAAGCCCAAACGAATAGCTCCACAGGCACCGAATGTTATGAATGACTCAAATAAAAAGTGGCTCCAAAAAGATGAACAGAAAATAAAACATCCTCTCTCTCCTTTTCTCTCTTTCAATAAAAATATCATATACACGTATATTGACACCCCCATAGAGGGCGGCTGACACAGAGCCACCTCCAGAAAAGTGGGCGGAGTCGGTGGGCGGAGCTAGGTGCACCACCAAAACGGGATCATAAAGGGAAACGGTATCTTGCAGTGGGTCTTTGCGGGGTGATAAAATTTTCGGTGATATTTTATTTTTCCGATTTTATATTTCTTTGAGAAATCGGGAAAAAAGCATAAAAAAGCCAAAAAGGGAGAGAGAGCGAAGGTGGTTGGGGGGTGCCAGGGACGTGTCAAAATGCAAATGGTTATGGAAATGAATATATGGAAATTTATATGAAGAGAGAGACTGTATATATATTTTTTTTTTGATTTTCTCAGAAAAAGAGAGAAAAGAGAGAGCGGAGATTTAGAGAAATCAATGGGAAGGTGTATGAAATTTTAGAGTATTTTGAGGGGGCTGGAAAAGGGAATGGGAATCAGAATTTTTAGAAAAAATTATCAAAAAAAAACGATTTTATTGGAATCCTCACAATTTCAAAGTTTTAAAAAATGTTAAAAAAATTAATTTTGGATTTTCGAAATTTCTGAAATCTTGAAACTCTGAAAGATGAAGATTCAACAATTTTAAAACTAGGAAAACCAATTTTCCAAACTCCACACAAAAGCGAAAAATTTTAACCTAGGTAGGAATTGAACTTTTGGCCTTCTGGACCTCGAATTTCAATCTCTAGAATTTGAAAATTTCCCAAATTTTTTTTGCAAAAGGAAGTTTCAAAAAATAAGACCGAAAGATCAATTGGGTTTCCAAAAGAACTCCAATTATTTTTTTGCCAAAAAAAAATACATTTTTCAGAAAATCAAAAAATTGAGAAAAATCGTTTTCCGAAACGATCAAAACTCAGTTCATTGGAGTCATTGGCATTGTTTGAAAATAGCGAAAACTGTGGAAATGGTTCAAAATTTTTAAAAAATCAATCTACCTTTGCTGTTTTCTATTTCAAATGATTTTCTTCGAATTTTCACATCTTTCTGTCTAACTTTAAATTTTCTAGCTCATCTGGGAGCCGAGATACAGTCATTTGAAGTTTAG